GACCTGCAGCCCGATGTCCAGCCGGTCTGCAGCCTGGCAGCCGAACCCCACCCTGGCGTAGGTGCCGATGGCTTTGGCCACCAGGACGATGTTGTAGGGGAACTGAGAGAGGAGGAAAGCCGTGATGATCATGGTGATGATCTTCAGTGACTTCTGCTTTTGGGATCTCTTGGCCTTCAGGAGGGTCTTGATGATAAGGGCGTAACAGATGACCATGACGAGGAGCGCGAGGAAGAACCCGACAGTGACTCTCAAGGCCAGGACGGTGACTCTGGAGGTCATGCTGACGTTTGTGGGGTACATAATTTTGCAGACCGTGGTGTCGCCCACCCGCACGCTCCGGCTGTACATGATTTCTGGGATGCACAGGCTCACGGATGTCAGCCAGACAGCCAAGCACACGAGTCTGCTGTGCAGGAGCCGCCGCCGCTGGGAGGTTCTGACCTTCACTGCCTGGACGATAGTGATGTACCTGTCGAAGCTGATGCAGGTTAGAAACAAGCTGCAGCCGTAGAAGTTGATCTTATACATGCTGTTGACGACTTTGCACATGAGGCTCCTGAAGACCCAGCCGTCGGCGGCAGCCTTGGCCCAGAAGGGCAGGCTGAGGAGCAGGAGCAGGTCTGCCACGGCCAGGTGCAGCAGGTACCTGTCCGTCGTGCTCCTCCTGAGGCGGTATTTGCAGCAGACGAGCACCACCAAGGTGTTCCCCACCGTGCCCACGCAGAAGATGAGCCAGAAAAGCAGTGGGAGGAAGGCTCGAGCGAACTGCCTGACCTGCCTCCTGTCGCACAGGGGCTCGGTGCCGTTCCCCGGGCTGCCCTCCAGGGGTGGCACCACGCTGGCGTTCCTGTAGTAGTCCAGGCTGGCCTTGCCAGGGAGGGGGACCTGCGAGGGGACACGGGCTGAGGGGCTGGGGAGAGGAGGCTCAGGAACGTGTCCCTTTGCCAGGTGCAGGGGGAGGTCCCCAGTGTACTCCGGCTGGGATGGGAAGGGGCAGAGGCTGCCGGGGCAGCGCAGGGCCCTTCAGACTGCTCCACGTGTGACATAAAACCGGCCCGCTGAGTAACAGTCCCTGCACAAGCAGCAGGTCAGCAGCTCCTGCCAGCCCCAGCAGGGAACCGGCAGGCAGTGGGGGCGTTCTCTCTGCCAGACCGTTCAAACACTGTTGGCTGGGCAGCCTCAAACACCTCACAAAGGGCAAAAGCCCCGGGGTGGGAGAGGAGGGCAGGAGGGGTTTGTGTTACTGCTGTGGTGGGGTGGCCCCGGGGGCTCGAGAGAGGCAGAAAATTGGTGGAGGCAAAGAGGGGGGAAAGAAAAAGAGGTTACCCAGCAGCACAGCTGTATACTCACTATGCTTGCAACTGCCATCTTCAGCCAGACCTGGGCTCACTCTTGAGGGAGGCTTTGTAATCTGGAGAGGAAAGATGAGGGGAAAACAACTGACTTGAAACACCTTTAAGGTAGAACTGTGGGTTTTTTTCTTCTTTTGCTTTTAATAAAAACCTCAACCCTTTGAAATGAGCCTGGCCGGGAGGTGAACAAACCACACAGAGATGGATCTCGCTGGTTTGAATTATTTTGCTGTTTTCATTTTACAAATTTACCTTTAGCCCAGATCAGGCCTTTGGCTTCTCCACAGCACTGTGCTGACTGAGTCCTTGGACACACTCGAGTCACAGTGATCTCGTTTTTAATAAGCCGTAGACTCCCCGGTGTGCACATTAAAAAAGAAAGCAACCTGAAAGCACCACATCTTCTGAGAGATTGGTGGGAATAAATGAAATGTGCCACTTCAATCATCCAGCAGCTAACAAGGAAAAGTACCTGCCTTCAGCTCACAGAGCTGAAATGTCTGCATGCTCTGCAGCAGCTGATAACCTCTGCTGCAACATCTCGTCCCTACCTGTGAGTCTGAGCACAATGCTCATGGCTCAGAGCGATGCTCAGAGCAGATTTTTGTGCCAGGTGAACAAGAAAATAGTGGCTTTCTCCTGTGGAAGGCAGTGTGCCAGTGCAGGGGGCAGCTGAGCCTGGTGGGCTCGACGTGAGTGCCACACTCCTGGGAGTCCAGCTCGCTCTGTACCAGCCTGCCTGTGCCAGTGCCTGCGGATGGAGCCCGGGCTCAACAACAGCTGGGTCCCGTTGCTCTGCTGTGGGCCTCCAGCTATCACAGACCTTTCATCCGACCACCAGTGCCTTCAAAAGCAGGCACACACCCGAGAGGTCTCCGTGCAGAGCTGAACCTCTCACCACACCTGGCTGCAAACACCTTCCCTGGCGCTAGCGGGGGCACGGGCGGCTGCAGCGTGTGCAGTTTGGCCTCCCCAGAGTCAGCGAGTTCCTCAGCCAAGCCCAGTTACTGGAAGCAGCTGCTGGTAGGGGTGGGGGGTGAGTCTGCAGCCAGGTCCCTGTGTCCTTGCAGCACCCTCTGTCCCCAGCTGCCCCCGACCCCTTTGCCCGCTCTCGGTGCCGTGAGCACTTGCAGGGCTCCAGGATCCTGTCCAAAACAATTCAGTGCAGTTGTTTTCATCTATTTAGAGACAATTGTGTTCTGAAAGCACAGATATGGGGCTGGTCTTTCCATCTTTTATCTTCATGAAGCAGCTTTAATGAACATGAATTATTTAGGAGGAAGTTTGGCAGCATGAGATCTTTGCAATAGGAGAACACAAGTCTAGGGGTGGTGTGTTGGCTTAAAAATAGATTGAAGAAATAAAACTGGTCATAAATACGTGCTCTAAGCTTTCTAAATTTTCTACCACAATAGAGAACTAAAAGCAGAATTATGCTGGGCCCTGGAGTATTCAAGCAGAGATATAAATTTAGTCCCTGGTTTTAGCAGTGCCCCCTGTACCCCGTGCATAGCAGCTGAACTTCTGACGCACAAAACTCAAAATCCATTTTGTATTTCCAAAGCAGGCAGCCCAGGGGGGTGAGCAGCCAGAGCACATTCACCCTGAGCCATGCTGCAGAACTCAGGCTGGGAAAAACCTGCAGCAGGTGGAAAGAAACACTTGTAGACTACCTAAAAATCAGCTCTACCCCCTGTAAGTGCCGAGATGGAGAGGTCAGGAGCAGCCTTAGCTGTGCAGAAGTGCCTTTGGGCAGTGCTCTGGAGCTGGTGGAGAGTGCTGGTGGAGAGTGCTGGTGGAGAGTTCTGGTGGATAGCGCTCCCCCCTGAGCCACGGGCACCACTGTGCTTGTTCTGGGCTCTAACAACAGCCCCGGGGTCAGGAACAACGAGCTCTCCATGCTCTGGGCAGCTCCTGGGGCTCTCCACCACGGACTGCACCCTACACCAAGAGCCGGCAAGCCCCAGGCTGTCCCCTGAGGTGAGGAGTGGCTGCCAACTCACCAAAAGTAACTAGGTCCCTTTTTGCTTATTCTGGAGGTAACTTTTTGGGAATCTCTGCACTCGGCGTGTGCCTTGTGCCCCCCCAGCTGCCTGGCGATGCCAGACCTGCCCCTCCACCCGCCCAGAGACCCCCTGGAGCTGAGCTCTCGGGCTAGCAGAGCCTCCTCCCCACCAACCGCACGGAATGGGGCCGTCGAGGCTGAGACCTGCCACGTACAACCCAGAGGGGACCGTGGCCAGCGCCTCCTGAGCTCTCCTGGGCAGCAGGTCCCAGCACAGCCCTGCAGCCCCTGCCGGGGCACAGAGCGCCCCCGGGGGCAGCCAGACCCACCTCAATCGGCAATCCAGAGATCCTCCTACCTGGGCGGGTGCAGCAGCAGAGGAGGGTGCTTTGGGCTGAAGGGTGCCCTTGGGTTCCCTGCCCAGGAACAGGGCAGGCAGCAGGGCACTCACCAGGGGGGTCGGGGTGCCACCCCACGCCGTGCCCCACGGGTGCTGGGCTCAGCCTGGATCAGCGCTGGTGTTCTGCAGGCTGAGGTGGGGCTGGGGGTGTGCTCCCCGACCCACGCCAGGGCAGACCTCTCACAGGCTGTTTGTGCTGTGGTTCAAGTGGTTTAGGTGGCTCGTACACAGATGGCAATCTTCTCCTTTCTTATTTTTATTTTCATGTTTTTTTTCCTGGTGAGCTCTTTCGGTTGCACAGGGAACACCCCTCGTAGCATCGTGCACTATGTAGCACAGGACAGAGCAGATGCTGCTCCAGAGGGGCTGTGTGACAGGATCACAGAATCATTTTGCTTGGAAAAGTCCAAATCTAACCCCAGCCCTGCCAGGTCCCCACTGCCCCGTGTCCCTCACCCCACGTCGCCACAGCTTGGAAACCCCTCCAGGGGTGGGGACTCCACCCCTGCCCTGGGCAGCCTGGCACAGGGCTTGGCAAACCCTTTCAAGGAAGAGATTTTTCCTTATGTCCAACCTAAACCTTCTTGGGCACAACTTGAAGCCATTTCTCCTTGTCTCATGGCTTGTTCCTTGGGAGAAAACAGACAGCAACAGGAAAATGGAGCAAAATGGAGCAAAATGGAGCAAAATGGAGCAAAATGGAGCAAAATGGAACAAAATGGAGCAAAATGGAAGCACGTCCCCTTCAAGAGGAACAGCCAGGCCGTTCCTGGGGAGAGCTAGGGCAGGACCAAGGGGGTCACCTGACAGCCCTGCTGGTGGCACCTCTTATGGGACAACCATCCAGAAGAGGGTGGCAGGAAAGATTTTGAAGGGGAAGGCAGTGAGAAGTGGTGAATAAATACATAAACTGCACACTGGATGTTTTCTGTCCTGACGAGGTGCCATGCAAATCAGGGTGACCTGAATTCCCCTCTCTGCAGGAGGTCTGAGCCCCGCGGGGTTCTGCTGAGATGCCAAAGCTCAGCTGAGACTGGGGCTCCTTCCACTCCCACTTCAAGGAAACTTCCAAGTTTTAAAGTAAAGGGGAAGATGAAAACCAGCAGCATTTCTTGTATGTCTTTGCTTTAACATAAATTATAAAATTAATAACATTAATTTTAAGCACAGCTTGGGGAGGGTTTTTCAAAGCTCTTTGTTTAGCACACATGCTCACAGCAGACACGTATGAGGCTTGATGAGCTCATCAGATGGTGGAAAGATTTTGCAGAAATAGAAAAAAGGGTTACACCCTCTGCTGAGGCCGACCAAGACGTTTCCTTTTTTCACAGTGGAAGCTGCACTGTGCTTGCACTACACCTGCTTCTCACACTCCCCTTCTCCCCTCCCCAGGTAAGGAGGATGGACATTACCCTGCCTCGCTCCAAGCACGCAGGTTTGCAGGTCCCACAACCCCTCAGCTGCTCAGCTTAGGAGGGGTTGTGGCTGAGGGAGCTGGGGGTGCTGAGCCTGGAGCAAAGGAGGCTCAGGGGAGACCTTCTGGCTCTGCACAGCTCCTGACAGGAGCCTGGAGCCGGGGGGGGTCGGGCTCTGCTCCCAAGGACCAAATGATAGAACAAGAGGAAACGGCCTCAGGTTGCCCCAGGGGAGGTTTAGCTTGGACCTGAGCAGCAATTTCTTCCCCTTGAGGGCTGTCCAGGGCTGTGCCAGGCTGCCCAGGGCAGTGGTGGAGTCCCCACCCCTGGAGGGGTTTCCAAGCTGTGGAGATGTGGTGTGAGGGACACGGGGCAGTGGGGACCTGGCAGTGCTGGGGGAACAGTTGGACTCAATGATCTTAAAGGTCTCTCCCAATCAAAACAATTCCATGAAGGGAACATCCTGCCCAGCAGGTGCCAAGAGCTGTGGAACTGCAAAGAAACAAATCAGCAAAAATCCCCAACAGCTGAGGGAAAGGTAAAGTGGCACAGACTCAGTTCAAGACTTGCTGCCCCCGGGGCATGGCTGCTGGTTAACACAGCATGTGAACTGATTTAACTACCCCGTAGCAGATAGGTTGGTAATTACCGACCAATGAGTGTAAATTTAGGTACATTTTACTAATAAAGAAGTTCAATGTTGGAGCCTCTTG